TCTCTCTCTCTCTCTCTCTCTCTCTCTCTCTCTCTCTCTCTCTCTCTTTCTTTCTTTCTTTCTTTCTTTCTCCAACTATCCTTCCATTTAATATGCTATCTAGAGGCATGGGATAAGAATACAGAAAACTATGGGAAGAATAATGCCACATCTCTGCTTATCTTTGTATCTCTTGCTGTCTAGCTGAAATGCTATTCTTGTTTTGGGGAAGCTTTCTCTGCTATACTTCTCGAACAATCCCTTCTGCTTTTCATGAACCTCGCTACATGTGCATTGCTGTCCACAATGAGCTGATAACTTCCACCGCTTTTCATGTTATGAGGTAAGAGAAAAAGAGCTTTTTCAAAGGACAGGCTTAAAGCAATAATATTTTAAGATGCCGGCATTACCTGATTCCCAGAAGCTATAAGACTAAACACTGGCCACTGGCCTTGATAAGTTGTATCTACCAAAGTATAAACAAGAACTACTGCAAGCTCCACCTGTAATCAAACTGATAAAAATACCTGTTTACATTGTGAGGCATTGCATTTTTTATTATAGTAAATGAAGGCACTGGAAAGAAGCACGTTTGATAATGTAATATGACATAAATGTTAGTATAAATAGAAAAATATATAGATAATGTTTTGAAAATTATAATATAAACAAAGCAGAAGTTGCTGTGGAAAAACTTCTTTGATGTCCAAAAAAGCAGCAATAAAATCTGCTGTTTGTCTATGTTGGATAAGAACATAACATGTTTATCTGAGCATTTACCACAATAGTTTAAAACTCACATGGAAATGTATAAGGGAGAGAATAAAATGGAGTAATGAAATACAACCAAAAGGGTGTTAGAAATATTTTAAGATTAAACTACTGAATTATTAAAGTAGATTTGCAAAGAGGTAAAAACTTAATTAAAAATGAGGTATAAAATAAAATGTGTATGCATAAGTTGTACTTTATTTTATAATTATATATTTTACATTTTTGCAAAGTGAGCTAATTATTCAGTAGTTCTGCAGTATACATACAGACACACATATTTTGTATACTACCTTGTTTGAACTTAGAGTGAAAATAATTGTCTGCTTTTACTATTTCTGTCCTAATGATACAAGCTCTGAAACAGAATTTGGCAGCGTTAGAAGCAACATATTTCAATGGTTTGCAAGAAGAAATGAAAAGTAGAATTTGCCTTGAATCCCAGGGTTCTTACTCAGAACTTTAGTTAAATATAGGTCACAAATATTGATTAGGGATTATTAGGGAACTGGAAACTAAAACATATGAAGGAATTGGATATGTCTAGTTTAATGAAAAGAAGGACTGGGTGAGACATGGTAGCAGCATTGCATATCTAAGGGGCTGCCACAAAGAAGAGGGAAGTCAACCTATTTTCCAAAGCAGGACAAGAAGCAATGGATGGAAACTAATCAAGGAGAGAATTAACCTAGAACAAGGGAGAAATTTCATGATAGAACAATTAATCACTGGAATGGTTTGTCTAGGTAAGTTGTGGATGCTTCAACACTGGAGTTTTTTTAGGAGAAATTGGACAACTGTCTGTCTGAAATGGTATAAGGTTTCCTGCCTGACTGGGAGGAGGGGCGGTTGAACTACAGTATCTTCAAGGTCCCTTCCAACTCTGTTATTCTGTTATTCTTATTCTGGTATTGTCAATTATTCAGCAGCAGAGCAGCACATACCTCACTGCTCCCAAAAGACAGGGACAAAGTGTGCAGAAAATGAATAAATTGGCATGTAAGAAAGGAAGGAGCTTTTGATAATGCAGTTGCAACTGTCATCTTGACTTTTTTAATCCTCATCTGTAGATATCCTGGTGCATTGGTATTTTTCTTCTTGTTAAAATAAATATAATTCCTACAATATTTTTCTATAGCAAGATTAACTGGAACAAAAGACTTATTTAGATTCTCTGCTCAAAACAAGAGAGCTCCTAACATTCTTTATCTGCAAATTGATATCCATTCTTTGGTATTAGGCCACATTTTTTGCTTTGGGAGAATGAAGAAAATGCAGGGTGGTTTTTAGAATAGATGAATATTTGTCATTTTGCCTTTAAATTTTCCTTCCAAGTAGAGTAAAAGCTATAGTATGGTGTTTGTGGGGCTAAAACCTTGGAATTTCAGCCACTAGGAGATCTTACTCAATAAAAATAGTGTTTTTGTTGAGACCTACTTCCAACTGAAGCATTGGGGAACACTAAGATTTAGCTAAGAATTTAGAATGAATTGCTCGCAAAAGGGAAAGTTCTTATGACCACATGTCTGTGCAATGTGCAGTTCCCTTTTCTTAAAATTCCTAACCTTTATTTTGAGGAAAGATTGGGTGAAACCTGGTTTAATAGCAGAAACTATGAGAGGGATCTTGGGCTTTTAGTGGACAATCAATTAAATATGAGCAGCAATGTGCAGTCAAAAAAGCCAATGGAATCCTAAATCGCATTAACATAGGAATTAAATCAAGATCACATGAAATACTAATATCACTCTATAAAGCCTTAGTAAGACAGCACTTAGAATACTGCATCCACTTTTGATCATCAAACTATAAAAAAGAAGTTGACACTTTAGAAAGAGTGCAGAGAAGAGCAATAAGGATGATTAGGGGACTGGAGGCTAAAACATATGAAGAACAGTTGCAGGAACAGGGCATACTAGGCTAGTGAAGAAAAGGACCAGGGGTGACATGATAACAGTGTTCCAATATTTGAGGAGGCAGTCAACCTGTTTTCCAAAGCACCTGAAGGCCAGAAAAGGAATAATGGATGGAAACTAATCAAGGTGAAAATCAACCTAGAAATAAAGAGAAATGTTCTGACAGTGAGAACAATCAACCAATGGAAGAGCTTGCCTTCAGAAATTGTGGAAGCTTCATCACTGGACGTTTTCAAGAAGAGATAGGACAGCCATCTGTAAGAAATGATATAGGGTTGAAATATCTTTGAATATTAGTAGCTGGGGTGGACCGGTAGTTATGTTGTTGGTTTGAGCTAAAAGCGTGGCAATTTGGTTGCAAACGTTTTGTCTGAAGAGATATCTTCAAGTGCACTTTGGATTGTGCTTCAAGGAGAAATGAAGATGTCTCCTTGAATGTGGATGAAACATTTGCAACCAAATTGCCAAGCTTGCAGCTCAAACCAACAACATAGTATAGGCCAGGTCTGCTGCTTGAGCAGGAGGGTGGACTAGATCAGGGATGTCAAAATCACATCATCACAGGGGTGTCACATGATGTATCACGACTTTTTCCCCCTTCGCTAAACCAAGCATAGGAATAGCCAATGCGTGACGCATCCAACCGTTGGCCCACAAGTTTGACAGCCCTAGATTAGATGACCTACAAGGTCTGTTCCATAGAAAGAATCTGAGAATCATGGACATAGAGGAAGAACATTAATTTTAAAATCTGATATTTTAATAATCTAGATGATCCTGTGTGGAATGTACAGTAGTCAGAAGAATTACCTGTATACTATAGGCTAAAGTAGCTCTTAAAATCTTAGTATACTCTTTTAACAAAGAGGAGAAATCTTGCCTTCCTTTGGAATCATTGTATTTATTTTATTATAACTAAAAAGGAGGATTTCATCTGAAAAAATTGTTAAAAGAAGTGCTTAAGATCATTTTGGAGCATGAACACAACACTTCTTTTTTTTTTTTTTTAAACAAAATTTATTAAAAAAATTTAAACACTCAAACAAAACATAGGAGGTAGTAACATAAAATATCTTTTCTAGAAGAAACAAATAAACCATCTTATTTAAAAAGAAGATAATTCCAAATTATCACACTTCTATATATATATTTATCTTATCTAAATCTATATTTATCTCAACTTCATATCTTTTCAAAACTTTTCTTTATTTCTCCCTTTCCTTCTATTTAATCATATTTCTTCTGCCTTGAAAATGTATACTCATTGAATATATTTTCATTAGTATTCTTCCACATCCTGTCAGACTTAAACAAACATTACACAAAACATAAATACATAAAACTTCTTTTTGGAAGGCGGCTTACCCCGAGTTAACTCTTTTTATACAGACATCAATCAAAATTTATACTCACTTAATATACTATCTTATATCTTATTTAACATTCTCTATTTTCCATATATTTTCTCTCTCCTACTCATTCTTTTAATTCTATTTTATTTATTCCATCTCAATTAAATAATTATATTTGCATCTTTGGTCCATTTTCTTTCAATCACCTACTTATCCTTTCTATCTAATACAATATTTCTCCTGTAAACCCAGATTGAAGTATGACAACTTTTTATCTTCCCCCTAAATAACACTTAAAATAATACGTATTTTCCGTGCTGATTCTGCTCCGTACATTCAAAGTATTACATTTCAAAATAGTAAAACAAACAAATAATATTGAGTTTGATAAGTAATAATAAAACTAAAAACAAATAAAAAAGAAATATTAAATTTATAATATAGTAAAAACAATGTTTCATAGGAAATTAAATTACATTTTTAAATCATATAATATTCTAATTTTCTAACAGCTTCAAATACTAATGTCTACAATGCATTCTTATGTACTTTTGCAGAATCATTTTTTTAAAAAATTATCTCACCCCTTATCTCTGAAAAAAATTCGTTTTTTTGCCTCTTGTTTAAAGCCTTTATGACTTCTCTTTCCTTTTCCCCTTTCTTTCTTCTCCATTCTAACTTTTTGACCCCCCCCCCCGTCTCTACAATTTCACTCTCTTAGTCTTCCCTCTCTGTTGTATTTCTCTTTTCTGTTGCTTTCTGACATCATATCGCTTTTTCATCTCATTTTTCTTTTTCTTGGTTGCTTTTTTAAGTTCTAAGTTCATCTTTTCCTTGTCCCCCTTCCGCTTTTCTTCCTCCACTAAGTGGAGGAACCATGCTGGGTTTCGTACCACAAATCACTAGTCGAACACTTCCCAAGTGTTTAGGACTGCGTGATGTATCGGCAGATGATGATGATGATTGTTGTTGTTGTTGTTATTTAATTAATAAAATATTCAAATATATTTGAAAGTGTTGATGAATGTGAGAAAAACACATCTAATATTCAGTAGAGAAGAGATTGGCAATGTCAAAATTATAATAAACCTCTTACTATAATAATAATTTGATTACAGTTTTTATGACTGTATATTGTCCCAAAGATAGTGCTGAGGAAGGCAATATAATACTTTGGATTGAATTGTAAAAAGGTGCTTTGAGAACTTCACTTGTGCCAAGAATATCTGTTGGCGGCTGGGTTAAAGGGGGGAAAACACAGTTGCTTTAAATACTTGAAGACAGGTGCTCCAAAGCAACATAGTACATTTGAATCCAAAGTGTTAAATCACTCTATAACGGAGCCTGTGTAAATATGAACAAAAATATTAAAAAGAACTATTTCCTATTCCATTTCCTTATTAAGAAAGTAATGATTCAGCAAAGATATATTCAATGACCATTTGTAATGTGTTTAGATTTTTATAAACTTCATAGAAACATGATCTAAATGAATAATAGCACCCATTTCATGCTTTTACTTTTGATAGCAAGGAAAGATATCTGAAAACAATCTAAATGAGAACAATTTTATGTACAGAAAAAAGGAAGATACAGTACATTCATGCTGAGAAGGAATAATAGAACACCAAATAACCAGTAAATCAAATGTTAATATAATTATATTTTAGGAGTGTGAGATATTTTAAGTATTTTAACTTTTAAAAAATGCTGTTTCTAGCTACACAGTTCCTTCTTCAATCATCCCTTAGAAAAAATATTATCAAAATTGCAATGTGCTTTGCTTGCTCAAAATTACCATTTATACAATTGAGAAAGTCCAGAAATATTTCACAAGAAGAGTTCTCCACTCCTCTACTCGTTGTAGAATACCTTATGCCACCAGACTTGAAATTCTAGAACTAGAAAACCTTGAATTACGCCGTCTTCGGTCTGATTTAAGCATGGTATATAAAATCATACATTGCAATGTCCTACCTGTCAATGAATACTTCAGCTTCAACCATAACAACACAAGAGCACACAATAGATACAAACTCAATGTTAACCGCACCAAACTTGATTGCAGGAAATATGACTTCTGCAATAGAGTGGTCAATGTCTGGAATACTCTACCCGACTCTGTAGTTTCTTCCCCAAACCCCAAAAACTTTAACCTTAGACTGTCTACTATTGACCTCACCCCTTTCCTAAGAGGTCTGTAGGGGGCGTGCATAAGCGCACCAACGTGCCTACCGTCCCTGTCCTATTGTTTCTCTTATTCTTCTTTTATTTTTCTTATATGTACCCATTTCATGTATTCACAACTATGTATACACTTATACTTATTATCTTGTAAACAATTGGCAAATCAAATAAATAAATAAATAAATAAATACAGAATGTTTTCTGTTAAACATTCTTTTCAGTAGACACAATATTAATCCCCTCCCCACCCCATCTATTTTCAGTTCCTTCAGTTTTTAATTTGGCCAAGCTGATTTATTTTTTTTAAGCAAATTTTATTAATTTCAAAGACAAACAAATCATCATCAACCATTACATATTTGAACCTTTTTCCATTATAAATTTTACAAGTCAGATAAAACCTTATTTTATACAATACAATTCTATTTTAAGCCATTTCCATATGAGCATAAAAATACCTCTTATCCAATTTCTCTTTACTTCTCTTTACTCTTATTCGATTTCACTATTATTATTTCATCTATTTCTTTCTGACTTGAATACCATTATTCTCATTCTGTATTTCTACAAGGTTTTATTAATACTCTCAAAAACATAAACACACAACAAACAAACATATAAAAAATCTTTTAGGAAAGTAACTTGGCCCCAGGTACCTCTCTTTATATGAGCTTCAATTATATTCATGCTCATCTTACATATCATTACCTATTTTGTTTACCATTCTATATCTTCTATATAAACTTCTCCACACATTTCACTCTTCATAATTCTATCTTATTTAATCCATCTTAATTTAAATCATTATATTTGTATCTTTTGCCCATTCTTTATTATCCCTCTATCTCATTCCTTATAATGAAATAAAAAGAATTTCTCCTGAAATCACTAATCAGAGTATGATGCCTTTCTATCCTCCCCCTAAATTAATTAGATTAACATTTAAAATAACACCTAATACCCAATCTGATTCTGCTTGGTACATTCTATCTACTAATTTTTTTCTTTTAATAACAATAAAAACAGAGTAATAAATCCAAAATGATTAAATACATAGTTAAGTAATAAATCTAAATATTAAATCTTATAACATTCCCATTGCCTTTCCCTTTAATATTTTATTACATTTTAAAATCAATCATTATTAAACATTTCAACATTTTAATTTCTTATTAACTCTTAAGCCATTCTAATTTTCTATTTCTAATACAGATGTTACAATACCATCTTATGTACCTTGCAAAATCTTTTTTAAGGAAATTGTACTTTACCCTTTGTCCCTAAAAAAAATTCCTCTTTTCCCATCTAATTTCAAAACTTTGTGGCTTTTCTCCGCCTTTCCCCTTTCTTTCTTCTCCCACCAAATCTTCCTACCCCCCCTTCTTCTAGCCTCTGCCTTGCTGGCATCCCTTCTCTGTTGTGTTCCCTTTTTCTTTTGTTTACTATCATTATATTTATTTTGCATCTTATTTTTCTCTTTCTTAAATGTTTTTTTAGATCTTAAGTCCTTCATTTTCCTCGCTTCCTTCCTTCCTTCTTTCTTAGTTAAATTTTGGAATTCATTAAAGATGGCGTCTTCGTCTTCTTCTTCTTGTTGTTCTTCTGCCTCCATCTGTTGTATTGTTTGTTGATAGTTAACCAGCGCCATTTCTAAAAATAGGAAGGCTTTTTCCATACCATCTTTACCGGCTGCTTTTGTTTGCTCATATTCTTCCCTCAGTTCCTCAAAAGAAAAAGCCATTATAGATCTTTTCTTTTCTTTTTTCCCTCTTTCTTCTTACACCAACCAAGATATTTCAAAAAAAAGTAAAACAATCCCAAAATCCACAATCCTCAATCAATCCAAGCCAAGACAAAATTCTCCCTTTCTCTTCCAGGGGTAGTATCAGACAAAAGAAAAAAGAAAGTCCAAATCTGTATTTTGAAGCCTTATTGGAGTTATATTTCTATCTTCAAATCCTTAAGGCATCTCCTCCAACAAAATCAAACCAGATAAATATATTTTTTGTCCTCTCCCTTCCGACTTATCCCATAAAGCTAGTTTTACCTGAAAAAAACAGGTTTCTCAATATCCACTTATTAATTCCGTCGGGAGGGAGAATAAACTTTCCTTTCAGCACCTCAAAATTGCCGCTTATTTTCTCTTGTGGAAAGAATCATCCAAAAAGCCATCATTTCCAGGAATTATATTAAATGTATCTTAGAGTCCTGGATCAACCAAGAAAACTTTCACTCTCAAAAGCTTTCTCCTCTTCCTCCTGCGCATACTTGCCCAGCTGCCGGCTTCTTTGTGGCGGCCATTGCGGACCGCCGCTGCACCGTCTTGGGAAAAGGGGGTTCTGCCGGCCAGGGAGGGGGTCTGCAACACCCCCAAACCCCTCTCCGGATCCCCCCTATCTTCAGCTACCCCTGCAGGGTAGCCTAGCTCCGGACCCGTCCGGATCGGAGCACCAAAAGCGGCTAGCGCGGCAGGGATCGGGCCAAGCTGATTTTTGAAGGCCAACAACTAGAGAACTTTTTTTAAATGCCTCTTGTCAAATTGGGTGGATTTTTAGCACACCTACCAAAGGAGGGGGAGGCATTGTAAAGATTGTGACAATCCTGCATGTGAAGCGCTTGTCTAATGTGGTGGAATTAACACTTCAAAGAAAAGAGGCCCCAACTGAAATGGAGAGATATGCCTGTCTGGACTCTATAGGTGGGAGGAAACCTATGAAGGCAAACACTTAGACTTCACTTATCAGACTTTTCCAGGGGAAAGTGAGATTCCTATGTTCGGTGATAAAGGAACATCTTGACCTAACACCCAGAGCTGCTTTTGTTGTTTCTGCCTGAGCTCTGAAGACTAAATATTAAATTGTATCAAAACAAGTACTAGAATTAAGGGTGACAATTTTGCCTGCTTTTACCTTTTTTTCCTTCAAATTATTCTAGCATCATGGCTACAAGGAATACATGTACTACATCACTAATTCTTCCAGCCATTTTCCATCTCTAATGCATCTTACCATGCCACCTTCTCTGTTTCTCTCTTCAGATTTTTAATGGTTCCTTCCTTGCATCCTGACTGGACACTACTACTATTTTTCATCCATACTCATGTCACTACCACAATGACACTTGCACTTATTTTCATCCCAAAGGTAGGACGAATCTTTTTAAAAAAATAAGCAAAAAGGTTATATTCTCTCTTCCACCCCCAAAATTGAATTAGAAGTCAGGTTTACTATGTCATAACATTGTTCTGTTCATTTTGCCTTTATTTTAAGAAATATAGTTTTCAGGAACAAAAATCTAAGACGTAGGAATGTATCGTATATTTGCTGTCCAAAGTTTTAATGGCTTATATGTGTGTATGAGGAGGGAATGGGTGTTATTAGTTATTTGTTTAGAAGATTTCTTTGATCTCCCGATCTAGCACGAACCAATATCCCTCCAATAATATAAAATAAAACAAAGCAAAAATCAACATACCTACAGCATACAATCAAGGGACCATTGATTGCTCTACCTCCTTAAGATGAGCTCAAATAATATTTATGGGATTGATCTTGGGAGACAGAAAGAAGAATTGCAGCCCAGACAAACAAATAACTAGAGTCCAAACATATTGATGACGGTAGAAAATCAAGCAAAACTCACTTAACAACTGTCTTGCTTTGCAACATAAATTTTGGGCTCAATTGTGGTCATAAGTCGAGGACTACCTGTATTTCAGGCTTTCAAGATTCTATTACAATAAAAGTAGATTTACAATAAAAGCAGTGTTAGTCTGCAAGGTCAATGCTTCTTGTTTGAATTACTTCCAAGAATTGTCATTTCATCTATCATTCTAGCCATTCTGGGAGAAAGCCAAGGTTTTAAAGACATTCTACAGACCAATAAGATTGGGACCAACTGAATTTCTGGGGGAAATCAAAGTACAGAGAAGACATATGCCTCCCAAGTCCCATCTGATAACGTTGCTTCTAGACAGAAACCTGAAACATATCCATCTTGTTAGGAATATAACTTGGGCAGAAATAATTTGAGGTAGGTTTTTATTATTACAGATAGTCCTCGACTTACAACTTGACTATTATTACAGATAGTCCTCGACTTTATTTAGTGACCATTCAAATTTACAATGGCACTGCAAAAAGTGAGTTATGACTGTTTTTCTACACTTACAACCAATGCAGCATCCCCATGGTCAGGTGATCAAAATTTGGATGTTTGGCAACTGACTCATATTTATGGCAGTTGCAGTGTCCTGGGGTTACATGATCAACTTTTATGAACTTCTGACAAGTAAAGTCAATGGAGAAGCCAGAATCACTTAATAACCTATGTTACTAATTTGACACCTGCAGTGATTCACTTAATAACTATATCAGGAAAAGTAAAAAAAATGGGCAAAATTCACTTAACAACTGTCTCAACTGTCTCTTAATTTTGGGTTCAATTGTGGCCATAGGTCAAAGGCTATTTGTATTCAGCATAAACCATTCAGCATAAAACTACCATTTGAATCTGGAAATGTAATGTACAGACATAGAAAATTATGTATTTCCAGCCAAAATGTATACCAAAGATTTTAAGAAGATAAGAAACTGAACAAACACATATCTTGAATTACCTCAACCTCTTGGACTTCAACAATTTTATTCCCAACCAACATGCCAAAAAGCCCAATGCTTGAGGAGTTTCAGACTTGTATAGACAAAATTTACACAAATATGCTGATCCATAATATAGTTTCTTGAGCTTGATGTATGATACCAACCATTGTGATTTGTAGATCATGTTTTGTGTCTTTGAATTTTGTGTGAACTTATAGTGTTGCATCAGACATAAAGTAGCAGTAATAGGCTTCAATTTTACATCACTATGTATTGTAGACAGATAGAGATCTGGAATTAACATTTTGCCTTATCTTTCCCTGAAGAAACTCAACATTTGCTGTTTCATGTTCTTCCAAACAGTTCCTGTATGCAGCCTCACCCTTGAGGGAAGAAATTGCTGCTGAGATGTATGAGGATGAACTGGACATTAGGCATTCAGAATCCTTCTTGAACAGCAGCATCACCTCAGCATGGAGTGAGCACAGCCTTGACCCCGATGACATTCGGGTGGGTGGAACACTCAGGACCTTCTTTTGAAGCTAGCTATGCCAGAAACAGTGCAGAGTAAGAGTTCCCTTTTGCAGTCTTTCTCCTGAAGAAAAGCAACAGTTAAAAAAGGGGGGGGCATCCTTCACTGCCCTAAATAAATGAAAAGGGTGGGAAGGTTTGACAAGATTGAGCTTCTGTTTCTCCTTGATGGTTTGGTTATAGGTGGGAGTAGAAGTGATAAAGAATGGGGAGACGGGAAGAGGGGAAGCTAAATTCTTGCTAAACTGATGTAAACCATTTCTTTTCCTGAGAGAGACAATGAGCATTTAACCCTTTCTTTCAGGGCTAATTCCTGCTCTGAATCACATACAGTTTGAATGCTGTTGCTGATGTGAGCTACAAACTGCCAGAACTCAACTTCTCCATTATCACATCCCCAAATCAGCTAAGCATTTTCTCAGTTTTGCTTTTTGTAATTCTTCAAATAGTCATCCACCTATTGATCAAACAACCAACGTATCATCCCAATTTAAATAACTGTGGGTGGCTAACAAGCCTAAAATGAGAACATACATATGAAAACAAGGGGAAAAAATTCTTCCAAAAGGTCAACGGGGTTAAGGCTGTCCAAAACCTAGTGGGAAGGTTGTTCCACAAGGCAAGCACCACAACAAAGAAGGAATAAGGTACATACTGACCCTGCGGGATCTGGTGCATTGAATAGAAACCTGGAAACAGGTATCTCCCAAATATCCTGACCTTATTCTATGTAGGGTTTATAGGTGATAATCAGCACTTAGATTGTACCTAGATTGCACTACTAGAAACTAGTGCAGCCCACAATGTGATAGTATGTGGTCATACCTGCTATAGTTTCAAAATGCCCTTCAAGGCAACCACACATACAATGCATTACAATAGCCCAAGAGGGAAATGATTAAGACATGAGAGAATCTCCCAGTCTAGGAACGACAACTGCCATTGCAAGTTGACTTTGTGCAAAGGCCCTCTTGCCAAAACTGCCACCTGCTTGTTGAGCAGAAGCTGAGTATACCAACTCGGTCTGTGGGGAGTATAAGCCCATCCAAAATTAACAAATGGAAACTGTCCAGATCTGGGGAAAGAAACTAAAATCCACAACTGCTTAGTCATACTAGGTTTGGATTGGATCTTGGCCCTTCTTTTCCAGGCTCTCATGGCACCCAGGCACACAGAAAGAATCTCAGTAGTGTGATTTGAGCAGTCCAAGGCAGAGATGCATAACTGAGTATTATCCTCATTCTGGACACTTAATCCCATGCCAACTTTCGATCTACCCTGAAACTTCATGTAGAAGATAAATAAATATAGAGACTGAGATGAGGCTGGATGTCTCACCCCATAAACATACACCAATTAGAGGAAGGAGAACCATCAAAGAAAAAATATCTCCACTTCTAACCCCCTAAATCAGGCCAGAAAGGTATCATTCAAAGACACAAGATGAAGGATGAATATAGATGGGCGATTGCCATCCCTGGTCCAGTAGAAATTATGCACAATTATATCAGATACTTGAACAAAGTTGCTCCATTATCGAAGACATCTGCCCCACTAATCATGTTTTTCTCAATCACGACTCTCTAGCTAGAAAAAGGCAATGCAGAAGCAGCAGTATGGAATGATGGATTCATGGCAGGAATATTTCACTTAAGCCTGGAATAAAGAGCCATCCTAAGGATACAGATAAAGCAATTTAAAAAGAAAATACTTTAGTAAACCCAATCAGGCTGCCATTCCATCAACCAGTCATAATTCATTACTATTATTATTATTATTATTATTATTATTATTATTATTATTATTATTATTATTATGCTTTTGACTGAAAAATTGTTTTATTTTTCTTCTGTTATCTTGCTCCCCTGCCCTTTACTGTATTTTCTCCTCCTCTTGCACATAATATGTAGGATGAATTGAAAAAGGTTTATAAACAGCTAGAATTTCACAAGACCAAGAAGATGACGGCCAACAACCCTCACCTTCAGAAGAAGAGAAGTTCAAAGAGGGGCTTAGGCCACACTTTGATGAGACGTATCACCGAGTTACCTGAATCTATGTCCCGCCAGTGCAGCAAGAAGGAAAAAGATGGGTCTATCAGTGGAAGAAGACAAAGTCATTCTGGCTCCTACAAGCGAAGGTGCTCGGACTCCAGAAATCTGAGCATGAAATTGAAGGAGGACTTATCTCCCAAACACAAGGTGGCCTTCCAAGCACAAGGTGGGATTTCACTGAAGAAATCCCATAGTACCTACGACCACCAGAAGGATGTTAAGGCAAACAGTGTACTAACCAGATATGACAGTTGCAAAGAAGCTCCTTTGTTGGACTCACTTATGAGGAAAAAGTTAGCCGAGAAAGCCCCAGAGAAATCTGACAGTGACTCTGTTGATTCAGCCATTCTGGTATACAAATCAGCCAGTGCTCACAATTTGTTGGCAGATAAAAAATCTCTGCATCCCAAGTATTACACCCTGCAGAAATCTCTTAGTGTTGCCAGCAGTGAAAAAGAAAATGCCTCACTGTTAACTAGAACAGCTAATTTAGAAAATACCCATAAACCTGCTCAAGAGAAACACACAAGTGCAGCAGTCGAAGATACCATGACAGAATTTAGCAATGTAGTCTCAGAAATCCAGGTGAAACAGCTGCAGAGAGAGAACACAGCAAAAGAAATTGAGATACATTTTCCTGGAGGCAAAAACACTATATGCCCATGGGAAGCTGAGACAGACCCATTACCATTAGAGAGCAGAGATAAGAAGGATGTAACACCCACTCCCATCAGGAGCATCAGTATCAACATTTCTGATTTTCCCGAGAGAAGACCTCACACCATTAAGAAGATACCACCTGAACCACCCATCAGGCAGCAAAGTTTGGTTCACAACCTTGAAAGAAAATGTGTAGTTCATTGGGATACTTATGATCAAAAACAACATCCTGCTCAGTCTCCTAAAAAAGAATCCCCAAATATTCCAATGCTAGTCAACATATATCTAAGAGAAACAGAAGAAGGTTCTCCATTAAAACCTGAAATGGAAAAGACTATGCAAGGAGAAGATAATGTACCATCTTCTTCTCCAGTGAAATTAACGAGGTCAGCCTCCATTGCTGCAGAAGTTTGCCCTTGGGAGGTTATGGAAATGCCCATTCCAAGCAAGAAAAATCTAGAGGTGAGTGATTCAGATAATCAAAACAACTCTCCTGAGAAACAATCACAAACCCTCGTTCCCAAAAGCTCCATAAAAAGCGTAGGTATGGCCATTAAAGCATTCAACCGTTCAAAGTTAAAGGGAAGCATAAGTTCCAGAAAGAACAGTGAGGAGAGCAGCGAAGCCAAAAATGAGAAAGACATCAGTGGAAAGCCCAAGTTGGCAGAAACAGCTTTAATCCCTACTGAAGGATTATCAAGACAAGAAGTATCCTCTAGGACAGGGGTCCCCAACCGCCGGTCCGCGGACCGGTACCGGGCCGCGGAACAAGCCTTACCGGGCCGCTGGTTGCTGGGCGCCGCCATTTTTTTTGACGAAAAATCACTTCCGGTGACGTCACCGGAAGTGATTTTTCGTCAAAAAAAGATGGCGGCGCCCAGCTGACGCCGGAACCGGGCCGCGGCGCCCAGCTGACGCCGGAACCGGGCCGCGGCGTCGAAAAGGTTGGGGATCCCTGCTCTAGGAGTCCTGGAGATAGCAGGGCAAAGCCAATCAGCAAACAAGCAACTATCTGCCCTTGGGATGAGGAAGAAGAAGCTCCTCGTAGCTCACAGAAAAATAATTTAAACAGAAATCTTGAGTTATGCCCTTGGGAGATGAATCAAGATATTGAAGATACAGTGAGCAATTTACCAGCAACAGCTTTCAAAGATGCTAAAGAGATCTCTGCTATCAGATTGGAAAAGACCAAGAGCCAGTGGGGATCTATGTATCCCAGAGAGAGACCAGAAGATCAAAACAAAGAGAATAAAACTTCTGATCTCTTGCCATTGGTTTCAAAAACAGATAAGAAGGCTGAAATTTGTCCCTGGGAAATCAGTGGAGCAAAACTCAAAATAGAAGTAAGTCCCTGGGAAAATAATGATCCCTCAACATCAGAAAGAGAACTTAAAGGGAATGTAACTGCTGTTTTCATTGAGGAGAAAAAAGGAACTAGAGAAGAAGCAGTTGGGAAAGGGAACAATCAGAAGAAGGAATCTATTTGTCCAGGGGAGAGCATAGTTAGTGAAGATGTATTGATCAAGTATACATCCAAGACCATCAATCTTGCTAAACTAATCTCAGAGAATTCAGAAAGCCTGCAAAACCAAAAGACAACAGTTTGCCCTTGGGAAGCTGAAGGCATTGAAACTGCTAACAAAGCAGAAATCTCCCCCTGGGAGATGTTGGGTCCTTCCAATCAGGATACAGAAAGAGCAACCAAAAAGACAGTAGCCATTGGATCTAAGTCTCCCGAAAAGGCACCTGGCTCACAAGAGACAAGTAATCTTTGTGAAATCCTGAATACTGATGAATTGTCATCTGAGTCAAATGTTAAAGGCCTAAGCTCCCCCAGATCTGGCAGTGCAGAGAACTTACTGGCAGAAGTATGTCCTTGGGAAATTGTGGATAGTCCTAAGATTATTTTTCAGAAAGAAACAAGTTCTCATAAAATCTTAGAAAAGGTAAGCAGTCTTCAGGAAACTGTCTGCCCATGGGACAGTGTTGATCGCAGCATACCTTCCAAAATCCCTTCAAAGAACTTTAATAACACAGAAAACTTAAAGGTAGATGTCTGTCCTTGGGAAGTAACCAAAGAGAATGCTTCCAAAGCAGATGAGGGCTGCAAAAGTACTTCTCCAGTGAGTTTGTCCAAAGCAACTGCAAATCTGAGCAATTTACAGGAAGATGTCTGTCCATGGGACAGCAGGGAGCTTCAGCAACTTTCGCCAAGATCTGGCGACCCAAGTTTGGCTCCATACAGTAGCGGCTTAAAAAAAGCTGATAGTATTACAAGTCTAAGGATAGATGTTTGTCCATGGGAAACCTCAGAAGAGGTGAAAATATCTCCATGGACTGAAGCCATATGCTCATTAAAAAGAAAAAAGCAAGTCTCAGCTGTGCTTTGCAAAGAGAAGGAAGGCAATGCACTTAAAAGTCCAAGCTCCAATAAAACTTGGAGAGAAGTAGCATTAAAAAAAACAAAGACACCGAGAAGTAGTCAAGGATCTATTTTTCCCTCAGGAAGTATGATCACTGATGAACGAACTACAAAGAACAGCCAATGCCCACATCCATTGCAAGCTAGTTCTAAAAGTACTGGAAGTGTTGAGAGTGTAAAGGCAGAGATTTGTCCGTGGGATTTCCAGGAGCTTCAGACAGATGCTAAGATTGAAGGACCACCAGATGAAAGTACCTTTAAAAAGGAGTCAGTCCAGATTTCCAATGATAAAGCAGATACAAAACCTTTAATAAGGCAGAAAAAGAGACAAGAGGAAGTAAGCAGCCCACGAGAATCTATTTGTCCTTGGGAAAGCGTGGCACAAATAAGCAACCAAAGCCCAACATTGCCCAAAGATGGTTCAACGAAATCAGAGAATGCTGAAAGAGCAGAAATATGTCCTTGGGAAGTTGAGGAAGAGGAATCTAGTGGCAAGACTCAGGTATGCCTCCTGGAAACAGCACCTACATCTAATAGTAACACAATAGTAAGACAGGATATCAGTGGAGTTTCAAAATGCAAAACGCTGACCAGCCCAAGCTTAAACAAAGTCTGGGTAAATATGTCAGCTAAAGTATTCAAGTCACATAGCCAGCAAGCTTTAATTTCTTCCCAGAAAAATATTGACATACTCTCATTAACACCCAGCAGTAAAAGTTTAGACCTGTCCATCAAACCTGACAATACCAAAAGCCTAAAAACAGAATTTTGGGAAATGCAGGAAGCTGGAGCTACTTTGAAAGCTGAAGTATGTCCCTGGGAAGTTGTTGAAGTTCCACTGGAGAAGGGGGCCTCAAGGAAGGCTTCTAAAGAGAATGTGAAAACCGATTCAAGAAGCTCTGCTGAAACAGCAGAATCTCTGGAGGAAAGTAACAATTCTCTACAGTCTGATTTAAATGCTGCAGATATCATGGTAACCAGCATTTCTTCAAAGACTTTGGATAGTACAGAAAATATGGAGACCTCCCTTCAAGAAGTCAAGCAGTCAGAGACATTCAGTAAGAGAGAGATTTGTCAATGGGAAGCAGAAACGGAGATACCAGCAAATACTGGTGAAATAACCCAGAGCGTGCAGCAGTGTTTGACTGGGCACATGCCTTTGGGCCACAGTGTTCAAAGGGCACAGTCAGAAGGTACAAATAAGATCCTTTCATCAGAAAGCAGAGAGGACATTTTCATAGACAACACCTTCTCTTTGGAAGCAGAGAAAGATTCTACACTGACCAGAACAGACTCTGCAAAAAATGAAAAAGGCTCAGGAGCCTGCTTAGGAGAGACAGAAGTCAAGACCCTGCCTGCTGTAGTAGCCCAAAGCAAAACAGAGCAGAAACCAGAGGCTCAGGAAGCAGAAGATCCTAGCAAAATCACATCAAATATCTGTCCTTGGGATTACAATTGAATGTGCAAAACTAAGAATCTGTTTGATGCTTTGATGCATTTTTCTTGGATGCAAAATGGTTTAAAATATACCTACCTTTGAGATTAAAAAATAAACAAAAGACATCTACTAGTTGTGGTAATAATGCTCATTATATATTGTTGAGGAAAATAATATTGTAAATTTGAATAATGAAGCTCTGGTCAGACAGGATGACTACTGTTACCCGCCCCCCCAAGTTGTACAATTCTGCCTCTAGTTGCAGAATAGTGAAAATTACCTGTGAACTTGCATTTTGTTTTTGTATACAGACGTATAATACACAGATCCCTTTGTGTATTCTTTCAGCCACTGCAAACCATCTACATGAAATATTTGTAAATCTGAGTTACAATTCTATTCACAGTGAAAAGCATCCACTGAAAACAGGCTTTAAACAAGGTTGAATTGGGGATTATTTGACAAGGACATTTGCATATAGCAGTAGTTATGGCATACATCGATGGATAATGGGAATAAGCATAATCAAGGAGAGTTATTTTTTTGGTTTGTGTTATAAAATATTACCTATTGGTAAAAGACTTTTCACTAACCCCTCTAAGGTATGCTGGCTTTACAGGGTGGTTTTACAAGTTTAATAAAATATGGAAATACAGTTACACTGAGGGAGTTTTTAAACAGTGATGATGTCATACCTGGAAACTGCCTAGGAAGTAAGTTCCAAAGGCATGGACCTATCGCTGAAAAAAGCTGTCTGCAGTTGGGTAAGGCTTAAACTTGTTCACCTTTACGACAGAGATCAGAGCTTCCACTGCAGATCTCTCAGCCCTATTCAGTCTATTCTTCGTTTAAGATGTTAAAGCTGTAAAAGCTAAAACCAGCACCTTAAATCGGTCAAGGAAGCTACAGTAAAGTAACTAATTTAGAATAAATGTAACATGATCCGTGTACCACAGGTTTTCCACTTTATGTAAAATCAACCTTATTGTAGTAATGGGCACACTGGAATATTGACGTCATGTTATCTATACAATCCAGGATATGGTTGCTGGTTCATAAAGTAGCTGCTATAGCAGGAAGTTAAAATAACAAAACGGGGAAAGGGCTAGGGAGGGGGCAAACTAGTGATAACAGTACTAGCGTTGCTCTCCAGTTTATTTGCCATGGCTAAATGAGTATGCCTACTGCATTGCAACCAATCAAATTATTTTCTAAAAGTATGGATGTTATATGGGCTTGAAAGACATTCTTGTAAATTGTTTTTATAAAACTTCAGCTTTCTTGTAAACTTCCTTTTTTTAAAAGAAAGAGGCTAGTACTTTGATGCATATAAGCTTCCAGTTTATTTACACAGGAAATTAAAGAAAACTCAAGTAGCCTGGAGGCACAAAAGAAAGCCTGCAGAGGTTTTGTTGTTGGCTGAAGTCTGAATTCAAGCTCGCTATGGCCCTTAACTGATGGCCCAAGCAGAGTTTCATTTGTATAGTATTTGCATTGGAGATCAGGAAGGAGCCCTAGGGCTAGACTTCAAAATTGTAACCCCTCAAAAACCTCTATTCTGAGAAACTACTTTCATAATGTTGTCAAAAACCTTGCATGGTAGACAGTAGATGTCAGGCTTAAATAGTGGCTGTTATTATTTTTACTTCTGGAGAAAATGCTTTCCAGGTTGGCATGCCTGCTATGAAATTCTGAAGACTGAAAAAATATCCAGGAGTATATTTTATAATGCTAATTCAGTTCATGCTGGATATTGCTTAGGAAGCTACCCTAATCTGAAATCAGGTCATTGATTCAAGTATATGTATATGTCTATACCAGGGGTGTCAAACTCGCATCATCACTGTGGCATCACGTGACATATTGGGACTTTTTCCCCTTCGCTAAACTGGGGCCAGAACATGATGTATCCAGCCCACAGGCCGCGAATTTGACACCCCTGGTCTATACATATGCTTCACATTATCAGCAATTTAAGAGGTTTGTCAAGCCCTGCAAAGTAGTCCAGACCAGGAAACCAAAATCTTTTATAACTACATTTCTGATTTAGACTCAAATTTTATCAGATCGTTATCTAGACTCCAGCTCTTCTTCCTGTGTCTCAAGATTATTCTTGTTAGGAATGTAAGTCACCTAATAGATAATTTGGGTTGGACAATATGTAAACCAGAATAAACATTTTAATACTGTCTCTTTAAGAGAATCATAAAAGTGTAATTGGGTGTGTTTTCTCAAACGGCCCTAAGATGGAGCCAGAAACCTGGGTTGTCTTAGTCTTAGCCTCAGAAGAGAGTGTGAGTCTCTGTTTTCCTTCTGTTGGAGAGTATTGCCGTTTTTCCTAATTGACTGCTATTCCTGGATTTGATGTAAGTCTGATACTGAACTGTTTATGATACTGGACTTCGCTATTGGATTATTCCTGGATGAAAACTGATTGATTTTACCTGTGAATGACTTTGGACTGCTTATTTTGAACTTTGCTTAAACCTTTATTGAAAGTAAAAAAACCAACATTTACTGTACAGCGTATCTGTGTGCTGTGTGTGTATTATTCAAATACTACTCACAAATACGTCTCCCTGTATGCGCTCATTCTCCTAATGGGGAATTACTTCAACAATTCTCATATCCATTACAGTGGACTTCAAGTTGCTGAGGTTGAGAAACATTGATCTATATAGCAATGTTTTTTTAACCTTGGAAACTTTTAAGATGTGCTGCTTGTGGAATTCTGGTAGTTGAAGTTCATACATTTTAAAGTTGCTAACGTTGAAAAACACTGGTGTACTAGTTAAACAAACTACAACTTTCAGGAACTCAAATAAGTATCTTTCAAACCCAAATTAAGAAGCCAAGGACTGACCACAGCATAATTAAGTGCTATGTCACCAACTACGGGAGGCTGCTATGCCTTAATTGATACTCTCTACATGAACTTAGAACTCACTTGGTGCTTCACTACAGCTGCATATTACAGATGTGCAACAAATGATAAATAATAATGATAATTGTTGTCTTTTTATAAGGATTATAATGAGCTGGTGTTTTTTTTCTGTGGCAGGATTCTATCACATTTGCATAGGAAAATGTCATTTGCTTCCTGCAAATCCAGCCATTGTGATTTGAAAGTCTTAGCTTCTGGCTTAATGTGATCAGCAACCCAAGTTATTGTTGTTTATGTAACAGTTTGTGGTTAAACGAATCATAACTCTGTATATATTCCTTAATATTTAACAGAACCATTGAGAGAAAGCCTAGTCCATCTGCATAACACCATCCTGACTTTTGGCTAAGTTTGGTTTCTTAATGAAACCTTATACAGATTTTAATAAGAGCCACATAATACACGCAAATGTTTTGGGTTCTACCTGCCTTGTTGCATTAAATTGTTTCATGAACCATCTTTACCATCAGTTTTTCCAGCTATAAAGAGAAATGTGTTTTAATAATTATTCTAAAAATTCTATAACTTCTATACTAGACAGGCTTTTTTTAACTACAGGAAGTGTTATACTGCTTTTAATAATCTATTATTGGTATGATTAATATTTGAGAATTGATTTTAATATAATTTATTGAATGAGTTGAAAACATTCCCTGCCCCCGTCCCCTTTTCTGAAATAAACCATCCCTAGATTATCTCATTCTTCTTTGGGTTTGCCAATTTGTCTATTTGTCCCTTTCCCAATTATATTCACATATAAATTCAGTTTATATCTTATTGAAAAAGCCAGAAACTAAAAATCTAAGGAATGAGGTACAGCGGAGGAGATATTGGTTTGTTTCTTTTTAAAAAAAAAAAACCTGTCCTTGCCCTATGTCTCTGTGGATTTTATCAGATACTTGGACATGGCATGAAACAAATCAGAAATAAATTAGTAAGATACATTTGTACTGGAACTCCTCCATCTATCGTTTGTTGAGCAACCATTCAAAGTCACAACACGGAAAAAAAATAACTTATGACTGGTCCTTGCACTTGCCATTGCTTCAGCATCCCCATGGCCAGGTGATTGTTATTCGGGCAGTCAGTAGGGAAGTTGGCAAATATTGCATATTTACAACAGCCAGCCAGTGTCCCATAGTTGTGCGATTGCCATATGTGATCTTTCTAACTGGCTTCTGACAAGCAAGGGAAGTTGGCAGGGAAAGTCAGAAGTCACAGTCATGTGATGCTTAACAATAGAGAAAAAAAAGGTTGGAAAATTGGGTTTGGTCATGTGGTACCTCACTTAATCACATTAATGACAAATTTTCCAGTACTTGTTGTGGTCATAAATCAAGGACTGGAATAGGCATATCAGAAATAGTTTCAAATTGTGGTTTCCTATTCTAAAATAAACTATGATTTATTCATTAATCCAGTGTATAGATTACAGTAACCCTAAATATATTATAGCCTAATCTTGTGTATAAATCCTATGCATACTGCTTTTGTCCCGTGATCTCGTGGGAGTAATTTAGTTAAAGAGACTGATATTTCCACCTTCTGAGAGTTTTGTTTATGTTGATATCTCCTGCCTAAACATTCTTTTTCTATAAAGCTTTTTAATGATGTCATCCAACCAATGTCTTTGATTGATACCTATGTTTTTCAACCACAAACATTCTTGAGAATGTTTCTTTGGCATTGTTGCAAACAATATTGGAAATTGGTATTTTTGAAAAAACAAACACAATTTCCCCCTTTCCCTAAGGGCAGAAAATATACATTACACAATATTTTATTTGGTATTGTTGCAAACGGCATTCAGAAACCTGGTATTTTTGGAAAGCTAAAGCAACAATAATAACAGAAAGGGCAGGAAATATACATTACAAAATATTTGAAAACATAGTTCTTCATTATAATATAAAAAAATAGAGGAATAATAACTCTTCCCGGAGGTGGGGGGGAGGAATAGTATAAATGGTAGTGAATTGAAACAATCATCAAGTAGCTTTCAGCAAATGCCAAAATAAACAAGGCTAGGGAAACCCGTTTGTTTTTCAAAAATGTCCTGTATTCCTTTTAATACATGCAATGGCATATTAAGATTATGCATACTAAGATTATACAGATGTTCTTAAGGCTAAGCTATAAAGCAATGTAAATATATCTCTTTTATTTTGATTGTATTTATGTGGTAAAATGTTTATAGTTCAGGCCCAGAAAGGGCTATCCCTCAACCGTTGAGATTGCAGGTACATGAGTTAGCAGTGTACTTGAATTGGTGTGCTTGATTTTCTGAATTAACTTCTACGTTCCTCTTGATTAGAAGATGTGAACCCAAAGTAACAACAGATAACATTCATAATGGAAAGATTAGGAAGCTATGAAGACCAGCCTTATCAACGTTACAGACCCAGATCCATTATTACGAACTGTCACGGAGTTAAAGGATTTGTGGAAACTGCTTTTGAGCTGTAGCTTCATTGCTCAGAGACCTTCCTCCACAAACAGCCAACACATGGCTTTGACTGCTTTATAATAACCTAAGATTCCAAATTTCCCTTTTGAACCTTCACTTCCTCTGAGTTGTCTGATGTACTTTTAGACAGTGCTACTAATATAGTACTGTAATGTAGTGTGTCAAATGTTAGGACACTTTGTCCCTGTACTGTATTAAATATCAAACAGTTATCTCCCTCTGTAACCATGTAAATACAGTAATAAATATCTATATATATATTAAGAGAAAGTAAATTTCGTTTGACTTTTAATAAGGTTGGGAAAATTTTTATAATGCTGACTTTGATATTGCTGGGTTCTGTTTTTTTCTGTGAAAACAACTGTAGGCCTCGGATTATATTTTGAACATATCTGATACACTCATTTGGAAAGCATGTTGTGGGCATGATCATGAAATGGCTTCAGTGTGGGCTTGAACAATCACAAATCATGCTCTTATCAGATTCTTTCCTCTTTTGTATCTGAATAGTTTACACTATATGCTGCCTACTATTAATTCAATCAAGTTTATACCTTAATGTACTGTATATAAATCTACCCACCCTGCAGGGAGAGGCTTTCCAAACTGATCATAGCCTATGATTAAGAACTTTTTTCATACAGAGAAAGGAATAAGTGCAAATCTACCATGAATTAGCTTCCTTATGAATATGTCAGTTGAAATATTTATAAGCTTGCAAGCAATTTCATTCACATTTTATCATCAAGAGATAGGTGGTGTAATGGCTTAATAGTTTAATGATGCTGGAGATAGTTTCTGCTGCAGTGGTTTGAGCTCTGACACTATGTGGCAGGGTGAACTCCCATCACTTACTTCACTTTCTGCCCACCTAGCAGGTTGAAAGCATGTTCTGTGCAAGTAGATAAATAGATGCCATTTCGGTGGGAAGGTGGGAGCCGGGGCTTCATGTGGCAGTTAGAATCCTGCTGACACTGAACTTTCCCAGGTGAAATGCCCATTTGAGAGGCAGCTTCAATGGAGGGAGAAGGCTTTGGATGATACTGCAGGAAAAGCTGGTCATCTTTCTTTCTGATGCAAAGCTAACAGATCTTGGAAAGCCACACGTGTACCTTAACAGCTGGTAAACAGGTAGCCAAACTACTACTCTGCATTAGCATTGCAGTCTCCTGGTTAATGTACCAATGCCATATATTAAATAAACAAATAAAATTAAGTTACATTTACAAGCACACCTGGACCAGAATTTCTGTTGCTAAATAAGGCAATTTTAAGTGAGGTGCACCCAATCTTACAATCTTTCTTTTTGCCATGGTTATTAAGTGAACCTCTACAGCTAAGTGAACTTGACTTAAGTGAATTTGATTTCCCCCACTTTGACTTTACTTGTCAGAAGCCAGCTGCGAAGATCTTACAAGACTCTGGTATCCTGCAACTATTATAAATAAATAATTAAACAAGGGCTACCTGTAGTTCCTTCCTTTCATTTGATGTCCCCAAGTTTCAATTATAAATGGGAAGGAAATAACAAGTTGCAAGGATCTCACTTTTATTTTCATATAGGTTATCGGCTCTGCAGATTCCCATTAGATTCTAGCAAAAAGCATCATAGCACATTCCCCCCCCTCCCTAATTTGGATAAGAATGATGTTAATATCCAATAAGTAACTACCTATAGGAAACTGTACAATGCACTATTATAAAGATTTTATTATGCAACTGTAATTGGAGATGGTGGGTTCTTTTCTTAGTAATAACATCTGTTATGCCAATCTTTGGTTTCAAACTAAAGACAAGACACTGCCAAAATATTCTCCCCGGGTTAATTTATTGCACATCTTTCTTATAAAAAGAAGCAACTATTAGCTTAAGTTTTATTTCTTTTTTATTTTCTCTTTTTAAGAATTGAATTCTGTCTGTCTCCCCTCCATCTGCTGAGTGATACAGAATTTTGATACCTGCTAAACACAAATTTAATAAATGTTATTTCCAAAAAAAGAATTTTTAATACTTTGCCCTCCCATAATTTATACAGGATCTTCAAACCTATTAAAAATATTTTAAAACTTTATTCTAAATCATAGTTTCTAAATCATCTACAAAAGATATAGATTATTAAAAAAATAAAACATGAGATTACCAGTTACATCAGGACCATATCTTTTTAATTCAAGAAACTGTCACTACCATTACATCTATGAAATCAGAGAAAGCTCCTGGCCCTGTTGGTATTTCAGTTGATTGTAAAATCAAAGTTGATTAGGTTTTATATCTTGAAATCTATTACTTTATTGATCAAAAAGTAACAATATACAACCAATATTGCAAAGTATGTACATCAATTATTCTAGCAAGGAAGACTGAAAAATGGAATAATATAGGGATTATACAGCTTGATATATACCTCATAATTTAACGAGAGGCAAAACATGTAAGAAATTGCCCAACATATCCAATTCTTCTTCCTGTTTCATTTTTTTGGTCTTATTATTTGTTGCATTAAATCAGTGGATCTGGTGCCTCTTGATGATTCTTCCTTATGCTTCCGAAGGTGTCAGGGTTGGTCCTGGGATCATAACAGTCTGGAAAGTGTAAGGTTGTGGAAAAAGAAAACAGAAAATCAATGCCCCAATTGTCAAAATCTATGAAGTATGAAATATGAAGGAAGTGCACTGACTTCTCATTGCATAAGTATCTATTTTAAAAAGCTAATTTAAGAAAATATAGAAGGACTAGGCCTCAAAACTATGGAAAAAACTGTGAAAGTTGGAACACATTGGTTGGATAGATATAATGCAATTTGCTTGCTTTGGAATTGGAATGATGATGTGCAATCCCAGCTGAGCCTATCATTTTTAAAATAGTTCATTCTCAATGACTGTGCTTCTTTAGTCAAGATTTTATTAATTACTTTTGACATTATTTAAACAGGAAACCAAGGTTTTAAGATTATGACTTGACTAAGGATTATATGAATAGAGAAACAATTGCACAGTGTGAACTCAAGCACACATCCCTGACTCTCTATAGTAATTTCCTCCAAAGTTTTAAATTACAACTCCTCATGCTCCTGCCAGTGTCCACTGGTTATGCTAGATGAGAATGCAAGAATCTATAATTCAATGCCAGCAGAAAGCATGAAATTGGCAGAAGTCCTGTAATGGGCTTGTAATAATGCATGTAGGTGTTGAGAATATTACCATCAGCTAAAAGCATACTTACTTTAAACTGAACCATTTTTACACTTGTTGTTTATTCAATAAACCACGGATAATTAATTGACAGTGGCTCATTTCATACAACACGTTATTTCAAAATCAAATAAATCACATTATGATTTAGTAGGATATATGAATCAAGCTACTTTATCCTTTATAAGATAAAGTAGCCAAAACGGTAACATTCTCTGGCTTTTAAGGTTTATGCATCAAAAAAATTAAGACACCTTTACAAATAAATGTCACATCATAACCTAAACATATACCTTGATTAGGGGATCTTTTGGAGGAGCCCATGATGGAACAATCTTGTCATGTAACCTCCACTGGCCAGTTCTGTGTAGCAGGTGTCTCTCAAACACAACATATTCTAGTACATCCTTTGGTGTCTGTTCGCTTCCATACATCAGCCTCCCAAACTGATCATAGATAGCTAAAATCTGCCAGGAAAAAAAAATCAATAATCCAACCCTGAGCTATTAATTCTGATACCTCCAGGGTAACAATGGTTGGAATCACATACCTGCCGAATGTGAATTCGAACTGTCACTTGCCCATACAGAAGGTCCTCGTTCAGCAGAGTTGGGCATCGCACATGGACCACTCTAGGGGGCTCCAATGACTCTAGAAAACTCCACCGAATGGTCTTGCATTCATTTCCTTGTACCATTTCCTAGCAAATTCAACATGTCTAAAATTTCAGCATGTTCAAATGAAGGTTAAGCATACTACTGCACGAGGATTAAAATACTTATGAATAGCTACAAGAATTTTTTTTAGAAAAAAATTAGAGGATAAAAATGGAAGTGACCAAAACAAATTAAAAAAAAAATCAACACCCAAATCCCTATCATTAACAACTCAGAAACCGGAATTTACTGATTTGGTATAAAATATTTTCCAGTCCTGAAAGAAAATAGAAAAAGGCACAAAAACAATTGAAGAAAAAAAGAGGCAAATAAGCAAGACCAGACTGAGAAAAAGGAAATGGGCATAAAATGCAAAGTCATGCTGTGGGCAACTGAAACTCATAGTACCGTTTAGATCAGGGGTCCCCAAACCCCCAGGCCAGCCTGCTACTGGGCTGTGGTCTATTCGCACTGGGCCACATGAGCAGCAGGCCAACATGCATGTGCGTGCAGCTCAACTTGCATGTGCAGCTCAACTCACATACACAGCTTGACTTAATAGTCGAGCTACATGTGCATATGCATTGGGCCACCACTCACATGCTGCTCTCCCACTACCCGGCTGGGCTGCCCAGCGGCAAAGGTTGGGGACCTCTGGCTTAGACAAAATAGACTAGTTTATTTGCATTCAGAACTTTTTCCATATAGCATCATCAGTGAAACCCAATATAATGATTCCAAAGATGAAGTCTACACCATGATAACTGCACACATTAGAAATGAAACAAAAAAAGAGAAGCAGCCTTCTGGGCTCAGGCTGTTATAAACCATGCTGAGGCCATAGGCAATTTTCTCCAACCCTCCTCCTCCTGTAATGACTTTTAGAATCCATGTAGGTGCTAGCAAACACTGTGCATTACTTCCTATTCTCTCTTCGATTTTTAAAAAAATAAAAAGTATGTTTGCTCCGTACTTCAATTTTAAGCGCATACAAGGATGTCAAACTAACAAAGCACCTTTGGGGCTTGAAATGAAAGAGCCCACCAATGATGATTAACTCTGCCCAGCGTGGCAGACTGACAATGCAGGAATACCATAGGATAGGAGTGCAAGTATCTGTTACAGGAAAGTGCCATGACAGATTTTCTTAAAAGTCTTTTAAGCAAATACTTGCTGATCTCATCAGATTCTTACCGGGTAACAGTGTTCAGTCACTAGAGTGTGAAGTTTCTCCTCATTAAAACTGTAGAAATTTAGAAAAATAATACATGACCAAGTTGCTTCTAAATATCAATTTAATGAAAATACCATTCAGTTTGAAACACATAAGCGTGGACATACATATGCATGCAGAATTCTTGACAACTTCTAATATGTATAGAGAATAATCCTATTATTATTCAGGAATAATCCTGAAGAAAAACCACTGCTAACAAAGTTCAAGTTACAATGTACTATGCAAGACTAGAAAGAAAAAAACCCTCTGTGAATCAAGACAAAAGTACTGTATAGAAACATACAATAGATAATATCAACACAGCTAATAAAAGGGTGTCAGAATGCATGAAGACACTTGGAATGTCTGATGAATGAACCAGCTCCTACCCCTACACCCGCTCTTTATCTGAATACAGATTTTAACAGCTATCAATTGGTGATATTACTTCCAGGTATTTGAACCAGTTTCTATAATGTATCCATCACAAAGCAACAGGCTACTTCGTTTTCCATTTTAAAAAAATCCTAAAGATAATTTTTGAAGTTTCTCTAAGTAAGATAAATGAACTAAAAGATGTTAACTGCTATCAAACTAATGCACAATTTGTGGGAAGAGAGGGAAGACTGGTGCCTACAATTGAAACACATCCCAAGAAGTCTTACTTGGCCAGATTATTGTGTGCCTCAATAAAGATTTCTTGGGCTTTTTCTCCAAAGGTTTTGATGCGGAAGTCAGGATCACTCTCCCTTATTTTTCGGATTCTGTCAAGAAAAAAGGACAAGAAGAGAGTAAACAACCACAGTTCAAGAAAAAAGAATCCTTAAGATGAAGTTCATCAGACACAGGACTTACATAATCACAAAACAGGAAAATGCTGTTTCTGCACAGCTAAAGACATATTCATATTGATTATAATTTTTACTCTGATCAATCTATGGGAGAGTAATGACCAACAAATCATACCTAGTCTATATCTTGATGGGGGATTCTGAGAAAAAAGCCCAAACACCAAGTTCTGAAGTCATCAATCAAACCCACTATTTATAAAAGACAATAGTATCTTTCATTATAGGACCACATACTTATCTAGGTTAAAATACTGTTGGCTAGTTCACATCTTTTTATACTTCAGTATGCTGCATTCATCCTGGCTGTAGATTAATGCAGCAAACTAAAGGCCAATTAATCTCAAGTGTGTCTACCTTGTAAGGATACAGCAGAAATGAAACAATTCCATTCTAAATTTCCATAGTAACCTAAGTCATATCTTTATTTGGAAATGGGTTGAACAGCAAATGAAAAATTTGCACAAATCTCAGGAAAAAAATATTAAATATGAAACTGTTTTGTTTAAAGCAAAGCCTGAAAGGGAACCATGAATTCATGAAAGAATGTTTGGGAGTATACTCACAGCCAAAGGTTAAAACTCATCAGCTTCAAAAGTTCTGAGTGATTACGTCACTTCATGGAGAACTAATCAATCATAATGTTTGAACCCAATAATGTGATATTAAAAAATATACCAAATGCTGGGAAAATATCAACAATAAAACTAACACTACGAAAAGATGGGACTTATTTCCAGACCCCTTTTTCATAAATTTGCAGACAAATTACCATTGTCATATTAAAAATATATTTTTAATATATATTTTTATTCATAAATATTTTGAATACAGTGTATTGCCAGGGCATATCATTCACAGAGAAAAAAACAAGGAAAAAAAGAAATAGTAACATATATACTATAACAATAGCAGTGGTGCAATAGAATAATTTTAATTAAATTTATCTTTGTTAGTTTATTTGTAATAGTGTTGGTTATATTAGCATACTTATAATTATAAACCATCTTTATGATTAGTGCATACAAAGCAATAATCTTTCTTTACCTAATTTCTACTTATCTCTAACCACTCATAAAATCTCATCCCATGTTGAGTAATATTCTGCATCTCCTTTTTTCTTTATTTTCTGTCCATCTCTGCACAGTCCAATATTTTCTAAATTGCATCCTCATCTGATGGAGTGTTTTCATTTTTCCAATATTGTGCAAACAGAATACACACTGCTGTCAATACATGCAAAACTAGGTATATCCCTTTATCATAGCCCTTCGGCATTATACCCAACAGAAATATTTCTGGTTTCAGATCTATTTGTTGCTTGATCACCTTTTCCAATCATGTATTTTCGTCCAATATTTTCTTGCTTTCATACAAGTCCACCACATATGATAATAAGTACCTGGGGTCCGATTACACTTCCAACATTTGGCAGACATTTTTTGCTACCTATAAAATGCCACCTATAAAACATTTTATAAAGATGTTCCTTATATGCAGTAGCCATTGTCAGTTTGTAATTCCTATCCCAAAATTTTTGCCATTTATCTAATTCTATAGTATAACCAACGTTTCTTGCCTATACAATCATTATTTCTTTGACTTGTTCCTCTTCCATTTTATAACTTAGTGATTACAGTATATATTTTTAAATCAGTTTTTCATCTGAATTTTCATTTGCAAATACAATTGAGATACAAGAAAGATGTGAAAACATGGGGCTTTTACAAGGAACCAACAGCACTTGATTTTATTGGGGACATATTAAAAAGATTTTTTATTTGATTCAACAATCCATGCATTAGAAAAGGTCCTCTTTTCCCTCCTTCTAAAGTCATACTAAGTACATAGCAATAGCACTTAGACTTATATACCACTTTATAGTGCTTTTCAGCCCTCTCAAAGCGGTTTACAGAGTCAGCCTATTGCCTCCAACAATTTTGGGTCCTCATTTTACCCACCTCGGAAGGATGGAAGGCTGAGTTAACCTTGAGCCTGATGGGATTCGGTCTGCTAAATTGCAGTGGGAGTAGCTTGCAGTATATCGTTTGACTGTTTACTCCCAAAAATAACACACTCTGAAGCACATTAACACTATTTGGAACTCCAAATGAGGGAAATTCATCTTTTACATGACTTATCAAATAAAATAATTCCCTTCCTTGGGGAATGCTAGCATGTAGACAGAAACATTAAAACTCATTTTCCGTAAATAAGTTTTTATACATAGGGTAATATTCAGTTTTCAACTGCTTTTTCAAATTACCATATTCCAAAAAGGACTACATTATGTACAATGTACTCTTGTAAGTTAATATTTACTGCCTGGGTTTTTAGGAAATGCAACAGGAAATAAATCATCCTTTAAGACCTACAGAAATGCTTAGAAGATCAAGACCATGGCACAAACTGCAGCTTCTAAAAGGAAATTATATATTAGCTCTAGATGAACAGATGCAATAGGCTGACTGGATGCCACAAACAGAGAGATACATACGCCGTGTAAGATTTTGCAGTCTGCCTCAATTTCTCTGTCCTTTGTAACAGCCCTTCCTTTGACAACATTGACATACGGGCATCTCCTTCTGCAGGAATGTAAGGGTCAAAGATCCCCCCTGGATTGCCAAAACAAGAAGAAAACATAACTAACAATTATTTTTAAAACATGCTTCCCAATCAAATGTGAAATATTAATGTTTTTAAAAAATTGAGGTAAAATATTATTGCTTGGGCTCCCCCCCATGTTAATGAATTTAAAAATTCTTCCACAAAACCTGATCTTATTGACATCCTACTGTTATAAAAAAAATTGTGTATTGCTGAATGGCCGTGATTTACAGCTTCAGTTACCTATAGCTATTGTGGAAAACTTCATACTGACAATGTGGACAATATGTTATTTTATCAGTCAGTACTGATAAAATAGTTAACGACTTGTTCAGTGATAGTTGTTGCAATGGTGATGAGCAAGTACCAGTAGTACTTACGACCTGTCCTTGAAATTCTAGGCGCTTGGCACCCAGTTTGCAATCATGATGTTACAGCATCTCATAATCACATTATCATCATTTGCAACATTCAGTGACAATTTACCACAAGCAAATTCAAACTGGCAGGAAAGGTTGCAAGTTACGCCCACTGCTTTTCCTCCCAAGAAGCCCAGTATAGAATGTGAGAACTCGGGAATCTCACACTCCATAATGTGTGCACATCTGCAGCACCTCCCACTTGTAATGCATGCATGCCTTTGTGCCGCAGTATCCTTTCTTCCTCCTGTCCACAGCACTTGTGCCACAGCACACTCTATCCCACCTGGCCACATTCACACTGGCCACATTCACTCCCCCCCCGCCCCCCAGCTTGCTAAGCATTTGCAACTTCCACACTGACTTTGCTTATTGGAAGCTGGCAAGTCACAGTCACATAAGATCCTTGCTTAATAACCTGCAATCCTCACTTAACAATGGCAACAGAGACTGATGGTCCTGTGATGTCATGTTTTATAACTACACTATTTAATGATGAAAATTCTGGTTCCAATTACTAATGGTTAAGTGAGAATTATTGCAACACATAATCACCTGTCTGAAAAAAAAAAAGGCAAATACAGCAACAACTTTATTACATTCTGCAAATTAAAATTCTATCTGAGAAATATAGTGTAAAAACATGAATGGTTTTGTTACTTGTTAAATTTAAGTTTGTTTTTTCTCAAGGAAAGCATGGTAAGTCATATAGAGTATTTCCATTTTATTCCTCAAATAATAACATTATAAGCGTAGGATAGGATGAAAAAATATGACTAGTTTCTACTGAGGTTCCCTGAAAACAAGACCGTCTTTTTTTTTTTGCCACCAAAAAAGGCACCGGGTTTTATTTGGGGGTGGGTGGGGGGAGGGCAGGGTATGTCCTCCACTAACTCACCTCCCTTGTGTCACCCCCACCCTCCTTTTCACTGTCAGAGGCCTTCAGGAACTTCTTCGGCCAGCAAGGCTCTCCTGACGGCCTCTGCAGCTGATAACAGAGCTCCAGATTGATCCCTAGCTCTGTGATCAGCTACAGAGGCCTTTAGGAAAGGCCATCAGGAAAGCCTTGCTGGCTGCAGAAGAAATGGGCCGAGGTGCGCAAGGCCTAGCTGCAACTGTTGTAAGGCAGCTCCACCACCCCCATCCCCACCCTAGTTTAATTTGTCCCCATGTACCCTGGAGAGGGCGGGGCCTTAATTAGGGCTTATTTCGGGGATAGGGCTTATATTGGGTGCACATATAAAAATCAAACTAGGACTTACTTTCAGAGTAGGTCGTGTTTGTGGAAACATGGTAAGTTAACACAAATTTTCATAACCAAAATTCCATGGCTTAAGCCTGAATCATGTAAGCCAAATATCTTAGCTACTATACTACAGTGACTACAGAAATATTAATGGGTGACTTGATAAAAATACAAAAAGAATCTTGCAAAAAATATTACCAGGCACTGTTGGTAATAGAGGTCCTGAATAAATGTATTTGTGCAGAATGGCAGAAAAATGGTGCCAAAAAGTAAGACTATCTATTGATTTGTTTTAATTTTTCCACCATCCATTAAAGCCTCTTGGTGGTTTTCAATAAAAAACAAATCTGAAAAGAAGATTTTTAAAAGCTGAAAAAAATAACAATTAAGTACAAAATGCAACCAATAAAATTAGCAAAAACTTTACGGGCCCTTCTGAAAGTTAGTAAGACATTAGGCTCATCAATACTGCAGGGACCCATATTCTTCAGGTATTGGTTGGTCAGAGATAGTGGCCAGTCCACAGTTAATGAGAACTCTAGCAGGGGTCGCCAACATTTTGGACCTCAGGGACCACCAAACTTATTTTAAATCCCAGGGACCACTAACCGGTTCTGTGGGCGTGGCCTAATTTGTGGGTGTGGCTTGGTGGTCATGTGACTGGTTGGGCATGGCTTGTATGTAAATATTATAAATATTGAATTTTTTTTATAAAAAAAGAGCAACTTTTACCCAAAATCAGGCAGACAGGCAGATTGAATTGCTCACAGAATCACAGATTCATTCAGAGATCTATCTATCTGCCATCAGCTAGCTCATTCTGTCACATAAAATTTGCTTGCAAGCAAACTCATGAAATTTGCTAGCAAGCAAAGTCACAGAATTAACTCACAACACACCATGTATGTAAATATTGAACTTTTTATTAAAAAAGAGCAACTTTTACCCAAAATCAGGCAAAGCAGGCAGGCAGATTGAGTTGCTTACAGAATCATTGAGTGATCTATCTGCCATCAGCTACCTGAGTCTGTCACATAAAATTTGCTTGCCGTGAGTCTGCCCTGAATAATAGAACCTTCAGTCCTAAGGAAGGTTCTAAAGATTAGACAGAAAGCAAGAAATGCAAGAAATTTCCTGCTTTCTAGCTAATCTCCCTGCACAGCAGAACAGCTGATGATCGGGGATAAAAAAGATAAAATAGCAACTTAGCAGGCAAGTTTGCTGGGTAAGGAGTGAGTGGGCGGGGAGGCTTCCCGGGGGCCATGTGGGCGGCGCAGCCTTGTGTTTCTGTGCAGCCTGGATTAATTGCTTTGGGGGGTGCTCTGGAGGTGACATTTCTCTGCAGATCACCAAAATTTTCTCGCGGCCCGACAGCTGCTCTAGAGGAAATGGATTATGAAGACTCATTTTAGTCAGATTTTGAGCCAGGATTTAGTATGGCAAGAGCCTTAATCATACTTCCAGATGACCTATGATGGGACCAGGATGACAATGATGCCTCTGTTCTTGTGCTCCTTGATCTCTCAGTGGTTTTTGATATTGGTGACCGTAGTATCCTTGTGAGCTACCTTTCTGGTCTAGGGATGGTGGCACCATTTTACAGTGATCCTCTTCCCTTCTCAGTGACTGGTTTCAGTCAGTGCTGGTTAGGTTAACTCCATATGTTTCTACTTTGTAAAGTGCTACATGGTTCCACCCTCTCTCTCATCCAATTAATATGTATAGGTAGTTATTCGGTTATGACAGCATTTGAGACTGGAATTACTGTCACTAAATGATGCGATCTTAGCAAAATGTCATGTAACCACATCATTTAGCAATGACAATCCCAACAGTGCTGATTGCCATCATAATCCCAAGATGACCAAGTAGTCCCAGCAGTACAGGGGTGCTAGTCTCAACAGCTCACGGAGTGCTAACATCCAGATGACAGCAAAGAAATACAATCCTTCCATCTCTCCCCATCATCCTATCATCATCCTTTCATTCCGCCACCATCCTGTCTTAGCTGTCAGTACCTATCCTTCCATTCCCCTGCTATCAGAACCAATGAAGCTTCTTGGATAAGAAGTGAAACATTTTCTTCTTTGTTGTCAAGGAAAAAATAGTCCGGTTGCCTTTTGAAGAAAAAGCACTTTTGAGACAACTATGACCTGGATGACTGAGAATCTCTAGAGACAATATACTCCCACACCTCCATTTCTTTCTTTCTTTTTTTCTTTCTTTCTCTTTTCTTTCTTTCTTTCTTTCTTTCTTTCTTTCTTTCTTTCTTTCTTT